GGAGCTCTCCCATTGGGCAGAGGAGAGGCGTTGAAAGGAGTCGAAGGGTAGGGGGCTGGGGGTTGGGGGCGTGAATTGTGGGGATGGCGGTGTCGTGCGGAGTGTTCCCCCCTCTCTCTCTCCCTCCCTTTTTTCCCTGTACTCCCCTTACCTGGCCTTCCAGCCTTTCCCCGGGCCGCCTTAACTTCCTTTGGACGTCAGTCGACAATTGACTCCTTGCCTTTTGCGTCCTGTATTTCCCCAATCCCTTCCTCTCCCTCTCTCCTCTCTCTCCCCCACCATCCGATGCCCCTGTGACACCGGCAGTTCACTTGCCACTAACCCGCACGTGATCCCCCCACCCCCAGTGTCGTGTTCGATCCCTCCACCTCCGTCACAATTGGCGCTCAGGACCGCCGGGAGATGGGACTGCTCACCCTCATGATGAGATATCTACCAGAGTGGGTTTGGAGGGGGGAGGGGAAGGGGGAGGGGAAAGGGGAGGGGAAGGGGGAGGGGAAGGGGGAGGGGAAGGGGGAGGGGAAGGGGAAGGGGGAGGGGAAGGGGGAGGGGAAGGGGGAGGGGAAGGGGGAGGGGAAGGGGGAGGGGAAGGGGGAGGGGAAGGTGGGGGGGGAAGGTGGGGGGGGAAGGTGGGGGGGTATTGCAAATTTACGTATGTGGAGGACGGGGGGGCAGAAGGGAACATGTAACAACAATCTTTGTCCGTTTTGTAAACGTGTTATTAATGTGTTGTTGATTTATCCCCCTAATCTCAGCCCCTACAACCCCCTCGGCCGTTTCTTCTTTGCCTTTGCATCATCATCTGATTTGCCCTCCCAGGCGCAGGGAACGTGTACGGCATCTCCCTGCGGTTGGTGTCCGTACGGTGGGCGGATCCGTACAGCAGCAGGGGCAAGAGCAGCAGCAGGTCAGGATCAGACCTGTATGAGAGTGTCCGGAGGGGGGGCCTGGGGCTGGGGCGAACTGGGGCTGGGGCGAACTGGGGCTGGGGCGAACTGGGGCAAGGTCTGCTAGGATGAAGGACCGGAACTTGCAAACTACTTGCCAACCACTTGCCAACCACTTGCCAACCGCGTGGCAACTACTTTTCTGATCTTCCCTGGCTCCCCCGCCGCCAACTGTGTGCTCCGAAGTCCGCGGCCAATATCACAACCACCAACAACATCAATAGCAACTTTTATAACGGCAGTAACACCACCAATAATGCGGCCTCCGCGGCCGCCAATATCGAAGATGCGGATGCCCCCGCTGCCGGCAGTGGCGGCGGCGGCGGCGGCGGTAGCACCTCCCTGGCCGCTGTGGCGGCTGGTTTACGCGGCCAGCTGGCGGCTCTCCACGCGCCCTCCTCCTCCAGCACAATGAGGCGGTTGAGGAAGCTTGACGAGTGGGTGCGGGGAGGGGGGGAGGGAGGGAGGGGAGAGGGGTAGAAGCGGGTTGGGGCGGGATGTGTGGACGACCGCAACGTGGGTAGGGGTAGGGGAGCAAAGGGTGGGGAAACTGGTGCGGGTTTTTTCATGTCGGCAAAGTTGATTCCCTTGCTTCCTGCATCCACCATATTGTTCCAATCCGCTTCCTTCGGTCTTCTTCCTCTATCCGCCTTCATTTCCCACACACGCATACCCATTTCACCCGCTCCCTCACCTCTCCTCTCTCCCCCCCCTGCCGCCTTCTCCCCGCCGGCCACCTCACCTCCCCCTTAACCCCCCTCAGTCGGTCCGTGGACCCCCTGGCGGTGTTTGACCCCTCCCTGGACTTCCACATCACGTTTCGGAAGCTGGCAGCCGCACTGCAGGCCCTGGCGGGTGACGTGGGGGGTCCGGGGGCGGCGGCACTGCAGGCGGTGCCTGACCCGGGTGAGAGGGGGGCCGGGGGGTATGCGGGGAAATGCGGGGTTCTATGCCGGGTTATGGGGGTTTAAATGTGTTTTTGGCGAGGCAACGCGGCGAGGCCCGCGGGAGTGGGACGGACAGAGGAACGTTGTGGAGTCACCCGGTGGTTACTCTGAGCTCCTGTGCCAAAACGAGGCAGTTAGTTGGTTAGCTACCTAGCTAGTTTGTAAGTTATTGCGGGTTTACCCAGCCCCCCCCTGTCTTTGTGGAGGCGGACTTGGACTGCGTTCCATGAGAGCATTATGTACCAGTTCACATCAGGAGTCTCTTCCCATCTCGTTGCACCCGTTCCGCCTTCTTCACCGTTCTCCCTCCCCCTTCCCCCGAAGTATCCATTCAGCCACACCCTCCTCAGTTCTGCTTCCTGCCTACATCTGCCGCAGCGCTCTTTCCTTGGCAGCAGCTTCACTCGCTCGTTCGTGGTTCGTCCTCCCCCCCCCTTTTCCCCCCGGGCCCCCCCCCTTCCAGGTATTCCCCTGACCGCCCTGGGCTCCCTGGGTCAGCAGCTGGAGGACTGGGGGCTGGAGGGGCCGCTGCTGGGCTCCCTGCTGCCCGCAGCCCTGGGTCATGCGGGGCTGCCACTGCTGCTGCTGTTTGCCAAGCTGTTCAGAGTGCGGCCTGCGACACAACAGGTGGTTGGGTGGGTGGGTGGGTGGGAGCGTGTACCTGTGCATACCTGCGGGTGAGTGGGTGTATTCAGCTGTGGGGGGGCCCGGAAATGGGGGAAATGGGGTTTTCCTTAAAACTTTTGTGGCAGATCGCGGGCTTGGACTTTTGCTTCCTTTTTGCTGAACCTCCTCTCCCACTCAGCGGATTGGTCCTGTTTGTTTCGTCCCGCGCTCGGGTTCAAATCTCGTCAGGATCAAATCCTGTTTCCTTATATCCCTCACACCTTCACCAGGTGGCGTTGCTGGGTGCTAAGCTAGCTGAGGGCGCTTGGCGTCCTGATAGTCGGGAGTACCTGAGCGCTCTGAGGCGGCTGTGGGAGCCAGTGTTGGTGGTGAGGGAGTATGTGGCGGGGGTGGCGGGGTGGGGGGGTATGTGGGGGGGTTGGGAAAGACGAACCACACGCGATTGAAGGCGGGGGTGGGAAAGACGAACCACACGCGATTGAAGGCGGGGGTGGGAAAGACGAACCACACGCGATTGAAGGCGGGGGTGGGAAAGACGAACCACACGCGATTGAAGGCGGGGGTGGGAAAGACGAACCACACGCGATTGAAGGCGGGGGTGGGAAAGACGAACCACACGCGATTGAAGGCGGGGGTGGGAAAGACGAACCACACGCGATTGAAGGCGGGGGTGGGAAAGACGAACCACACGCGATTGAAGGCGGGGGTGGGAAAGACGAACCACACGCGATTGAAGGCGGGGGTGGGGGTGTGTGTGGGTGTGGGTGGGCATGTGGGGCACGTAGGCGGGGGGAAGGGGATGGAAAGGGATGGAATGGTAGAGTTAGAATAGTCGTGTTGCCATACGCATTTTGTACGTATGGCTAGGCTGAGGACACTGAGAGCTGAAGTACCTGTAGGTAAGTGCATGCGTACTTGGAGACTTGACGCTCGGACGACACGGCGGTGTAACCCGCCGCATTCCAAGAAGCAGTGGCGGCGCTCCGAAAGCGAGCTTCCTTCCCGTCCTCCCCGATGTGACCCACCTCACGCTTCTTCCCAGGCCTCCCACCTCCCTTGGGTTGACCTTTGATCTTAGAGTTACTGCTGCGCCTCCAGTACTCCTTCCCACCCCCACCCCGACCCACCGCCACAGCCATGTTCACGCAATTGCATCATGGCTTTGGACTATAACACAGCAGTTTGCGACTTTGATCGACGGCGGTTGTTTTCCCTCCTTGACTTGGCTATGATTCCCCTCCTCTCCGCCTTTTCCCACCCACCCCAATCTGTACATATAGCCGCAGCACTCTTCCCTAGGCGCAGCAGCTTCACTCGCTCGTGGTTCGCCTTTTCCCACCCCACCCTCCCTCCCCCACCTGCCCACTCGTGTGTGGTTCACTCGTGTGTGCTTCACCCGCTTCACTCGTGTGTGGTTCGTCTTTCCCACCCGCCCACCTCCCCCCGACCTCCCGCCTGTTGTTGTTGCTGTTGTTGCTCCGCAGATGAACAGCACTGGCCGGCTCACCTTGACGGAGACTGAGGGGCTCACCGGAGTGAATGCCGCCTTCCTGAAGAGGGCGTGTCCGCTGCTTGGGGATCACTACGAGGTGATGCCGGGGGAGCAGGTAAGGGGGGGAGGAAGAAGAGAGGGTCTGGGGTGTGCGTGTGTGTGTATGTGGGGTGGGGATATAGAACGGGCAGGGGCAGGGGTGTGTTTAGGAAAGGAATAACAGAGTTGGAGGGAGGGGGGAGGGAGGCAGGGCGGGACGGAGGGAGGGAGGCAGGGAGGGTGTAACGAGAGGGGTTCTGGGGGTGGGTGAAAGTGTGTGTGTTTTGCTTGCTTGTTTTACGCACACACGCAATGTCTTGTGCGTGAGGTGCAAGCTATTGCCAATTATTGAATTGAATTGAATTGAATCGAATTGAATTGAATTGAATTGAATTGTTACAAAGTGGGAGGCTTCTGGGCCACTTCAACACATTGTCAATTCTACGATTTATCACACCATACAGCACCATCCACCATTACTACACTGTACTACGCCATACGAACTGTAAGTCCAAGGCGGCGGATGCAGCCTTCAGGGACCCCTCCTCATCCATTCACCCGAACATCCGCAGAGACAGAGGGTTCAGCAATCGCCACCAATCCGCGTGGGAATCTCGATCCATCAACTGTGATCTCAACTCCACATTTCAGCAGCTAGCCATCATCTCACACTCCCGTCATCGAACCCAGGACCATAAACTGTATAAGACAGTAGTGTCAACCAGAACAGGCAAAAATTACTCGAAGACGATGGGACTCGAACCCACAACCCTCAGATCCGAAGTCTGATGCGCTATCCATTGCGCCACGTCTCCGATCTTCCCCCATGTTCTTAATGTGCCCACTACTACTATAGCATGGGCAGGTTCAACATGGTACAAACAATCCATTGTCAATTATGGCCCCGAATGGGTGATTTGCAGCTTTTTCAACTTCCCCTTTTTACCCTCACATCTCACCGCACCTGTTCCTGCCCCTTCCCTTGCTCCTTTCCTCTCTTGTCTTCACCTATCCAACCCTTCTCCCTCCCACCCCCCCACCCCCCTAACCCCCCACCTCCCTAAACCCACACACACTCA